TACTTTTATATGAACCAGGTCATTGAAATATGGGTCAAGGTAATCTGGACAAACCAATAAGCTTAATAGTCCGAAATCTAGGCCTATATTGCATTTATCTCCCAATATATCAACAACTCTGGCACACTTTTATAAAAATTGCTATACAAATGAATATAGAAATAGATTCAATAGAGAATCTCCTAAATTCCTGGTACCCAACCTGGTGTGTTTTCACCCCCTGGGGGTGTGGGTCTAGGGTGTCAGGGGTGTGGCCAACTGGTGTAGGAGAAGAAATTATTTTAAATTGAGAGAGCACCTCACATCATCACATGCAGGAAATGTGAATGAAACAATTTTTTGGGTGTGAAAGATCCAGGTGATTGCTCCAGGGGTGTGAAGGCTGAGAAAGGTTGGGAACCACTGTCCTAAATCAATGGTTGCACTAATACTAGAGTTAGTTGATGTCCGGTGTCTATATAGGCTGACAACAGGGCAGCAATACCCGAAAGAATATGGGAAGTTCATATATACAGGGTCCAAAAAATCACTTGAGATCAGAAATTGTCTTATATGGGGGTGTGGGACTAGGGTGTCAGGGGTGTGACCAACTGGTGTAGGAGAAGAATGTAAAGAAGGTCCAGGTGATTACTCCAGGGGTGTGAAGGCTGAAAAAGGTTGGGAACCACTAATGTAGGGTAACTGCATAAAATACTTGTACGAGTACAAACTGCTGTATTGCAGAAAATTTAAGACTTTCCAGCCCGACTGTATTATATATCAGTACTATTAAGGATGTGGGTTGTTTTTTTACTACATCAGACCACAATGAATATCCGACAAGAACACAGGGTCACAGTTATTATGCCAGCAACCATAGTACAAGCTATATAATCAGACTAAATCGTACTGGCTAATTAGTCATTCCTTAAAGGGATATATCCAAAAGAACCGATGATATGTTTAGAAGGATATTATACAGCTTTACACCCTTCTATAACTATCGATAAAACATAATTTATGAAATATAATGCTTTATATCCAACCATTTATAATTTGGCGGGATAATTCCAACAGTGGAATATGGGTTACCAATTATTTCAAATTGGGATCCGTTAATTTTTCTTTTCAACGAGTTCGTCAACTAAATATTTAAGGGGCCCAACGACCAAACCAACAACCCAGAATCATCCAATTTGAACCAATCCAACTACAAATTACTACGACTACCAACAACTACATAGTTTGCGATATCAGCATCCGCTGGAAGCGAGCGTTAACTTGTCATCTACCAACCAACCAAAGTGGTCACCAGTTGCGTATGATTGTGGGTAATAATAGCTGTCTTAAGTTCCGAACGCAACACTCGTGCTCTAGAGACCGAAACATTTGTCTCTACTCTAGCCTCTGATAGCTAATTGGACAGTTGTAAAAATGGCTATCGGAGGCTGAAATAGAGGCAGAGGTTTCAGACTAGTGCATTCACAGAGTTGTGAGTTGCGTTCGGTACTCATGACCACATGCATTATTCGCAAACATACACAACTGTGAGGGCCCTTTTAAAATGTACTCGACTGACACGTTAGATTAAACGACCTGCCCCTTTAAGACTAGTTCCTGGTGACTAATGGAATATGACTAAGAAATTGTAAACCGGATAATAATCCGACTTCCCCACCAGCTGTCAAAGGATGTAAGTTTTTCTATTAGACAAGGCTAATGCACCTTAAATATGTTACAAGAAATTACTCATTCATCGTAAAATATAGTACATAAAAATTTTGTCAAACAAGCGTTATTTGTTACGTTGGATAATTAACGTAAAGTTTGTCTGGTTCATATTGATTCACTCTACTCTGTTCACTCCGTCTTCACAATGTCAAGCTATTACAAATACCGTACATATACCTTGACTGCAATAGCCACTTTTCTTGCATCAGAAATGCAGAGGTATGATTGAATTGTTGAATACAGCCAACCAGAGCCCTCGATAGAAAGGCTGTATACAATATGACTTCGTGTTCAGATCGGGGGCCCCTCTCATCAGATCACTTCAATTCCAAACTTTAGTGATACAAGAAAGGTGACTATTGCAGTCAAGGTTAAACCAGGGGCGGAGCCAAAGAGGGACAGAGGATGCAGTCGCCCCCCTCCGCTCTGCAGCATATTTTTCGGGCAAAAATTTCAGATATTTCCCCTCGGATGTAAACCTGGCGCCGCCACAGGGTTAAATACTTAATTCGAAATATCTAAATATATACATTTTAAAGATGTGTTCACTCTTAAAGGGTACTATCGGCGCGACCTTAACAGTTGAAATATATCAATCTTTGTCCAATGCCAATACACTGCCCAAAACAAACGAGCATACATTATTATCAAACTTATCACCATTCAAACAAAATAAGCTCACATGACAATAGATCCCATGATTAAATATCAAAGAGCCGCGGTGAGAAATGATCCGATACTTGGTGATTCTATTTTCTGACAATAACACAACAGAAAATTACCTTTACTGATACTGATAACTAGAATATAACCCAGAGTTTGGTGATTTCTGGTGGGTTTTCATCTATACCTAACCCAGAGTAAAGTGTTTTATAAAAAGACAATAGTAGACCAACATCTAGATTACAATCCAGAGTAACGTGATGCCTGGTGTTTCTAAAATCAGAAAATAGTACAACAGTAGAGCACCCTCTAGAATATAACCCAGAGTAACGCGATGCCTGGTGTTCCCACAATCAGAAACTAGAATATTATCCAGTTATTACGTTGGGTGATGTCTGGTGTTTCTATAGCCGGTGAAATGACAGTAAGCCGCCCTCTAGATAGAATATAACACAGAGATAGGGGATGTCTAGTTATATATATGAAAAACAGACAAAATGCAACTGTGATGTATAGTGTTTCTCTAAACAGACGATAGTACAACAGTAGATCACTCTCTACTCAGGGTTAGTTGATGTCTGGTGTATAAATGAAATGAATGGAGTTTTACGTCCTACTCTGGTGTATAAACAGATATTAGCACAACAGTGAATCACTCTTGGAATACACCCAGGATTAGGTGATGTCTTGTGTATAAACAGATATTATTACAACAGTGAATCACTCTTGGAATACTCCCAGGGTTAGGTGATGTCTTGTGTATAAACACAAACAGATATTATTACAACAGTGAATCACTCTTGGGATACTCCCAGGGTTAGGTGATGTCTTGTGTATAAACACAAACAGATATAGTTACAACAGTGAATCACTCTTGGAATACACCCAGGGTTAGTTGATGTCTGGTGTTTCTTTAAGCAGAAAATAGTACAACAGTGAGCCCCTCTCTAAATTGTAAACCCACAGGGGGGTTTCTATAAACAGACAAAAGCTCAACAGTAGACCACTTTCTAGAATATAACCCAGGTTTAGGAGATGTCTGGTGTTTCTTTAAGCAGAAAATAAAACAACTGTGGCCCCTCTCTAGAATGTAACCCACAGACAAAAGTACAACAGTAGACTACACTTTAGAATATAACTCAGAGTTAGGTGATTTCTGGGGTTTCTTTAAACAGACAACAGTACAGCAGTGAACCGCTCTCTAGAATATAACCCAGGGTTAGGTGTTGTCTGGTGTTTCTAAAAACAGACAATAGTACAGCAGTGAACCACCCTCTAGAATATAACCCAGAGTTTGGTGTATTTCTAAAATCAGACGATATTACAACAGTAAACCACCATCTAGAATAGAGTTAGGTGATGTTTAGTGGATAACATCCGCAATAGTGATGCTGTCGACAACCCTCTAAAATATTGATAACACCAAGACCTAGTAGCTTCATATAGTATAACAATACTGTTATACAAAACTAAAAAAAAACATCTTCTCAAAAAAGACAAGTGGGTACTTACCAGGAAAACTGTAAGATTTCTGCACTAAAATTGTAGTCAAAAAGACGATAAATAGATTAAAAACGTTGAAAGTAGCTTGTGGTACCATCTTATTCTCGAGCTGACAAGTACTGAAGTTTTATTCCTATATTGTTATTTCTTCTCACTATTACATTTGGCATTTTCACTATCTAAAAACCAACTACTGTATTTTCTCTTGATTGGTCCCAATTTAGATAATTTTCTAACATTTTTCCTTTATCTAAATTTCAAATTTTAACAATCAATAGAGTTTTGAGGTTAAGTGAAAAATTGGTTTAAGTCCACTCAATGTTAATAGAAGCGATGCTAATTTTTTAGAATGAATTGAAGATAGGTCCAAAGTTATCATTCAGCAGATTCTGGCGATTCTCTAAAGCCCTAATTCCAGATTTCTCTAGAAATATGCTGCTTTAGAAAATGACTACTGATGTCACGGCAAACCACAGTTCCAGTGTCGTGTAGAAAGAGTTCACAGTGTAAATGCGTTGGTACCAAATTGGATATCACTCGTTTGAAATACTTTTAGTCTAGAACTTCAAGTCTTCAAAAGTTTGTTGGTACCACCACCTTACTGGCCTACGTGATACAAAAAAAGTAAATTTAACCAAAGTATATATATATATTTAGGTAGAAACTGGTTTTTGAAATTTGTCATCTAAGGTACGAGTTTGCCGCAGGCGCTTGTCATACTATTTATGAGTATTTGATCTCTGTCTAATTTAGACCATAAAAGTCTGGGCTAACTAGGTCTATATGACAGTGGGTCGGTTCCTCGCCTTAATTACTAATTAGTTTAATTAATTAACCTGAAAGTAGGCCACAGAGTGACCTAATATTATGGTCATTTACCATGTGCTCAAGTCAAATTTACTCCAGAACGTTTTAGCATCAATTAATAATTTAAAATGAATGAATGAATGAATGAATGAATAAATAAATCGAAAAATAAACACAATAAATAAATAAAGAAATGTAAATAAATAAATAAATAAATAAATAAATAAATAAATAAAAATGAATTAAATTAAAATTGCAAAAATAAATGAATAAATAAATTTCAAATTAATGATGCAAAAATAATTTCACAATAAATTTCAAATTAATAAATAAACTGAAAAATAAAAAAATTAATAAATAAGAATAGATGAGAATAAAATACAATAAATAAACTGGTCGTGAGAAGATAAAATGTTAAGTTGATTATGATGAATACTGTTTGACAATATTCAAATGATTTATATCGAACAACTATCATTATAATATATTATAATTTATATTCTTACATTAGTCCACGAGCCAAAAGGAGGGGGGGGGGGGACTGGCGGAGGGATCAGCCGCCCCTCGCATCCCCGAAAGCAAGTTTTTCGGGCAAATATCTCATAACAAAGTTAGAAATTAGAGCAATCTCAGATATTTTGCACTCCTTCCCTATCGTACGTAAACCTGGCTCTGCCAGTGTATTAGTCCTTGTGGGTATTAAATTTTTAAGGTTTTTCACGAAGTAGTGACAATATTTTATCATTTGGATTGATTCAAAGAGAATGGAGCACCTGATATGACTTCACGAGTGGTTTACCATCTTAACACGTCTTTTTGACAGTCCATATAGCTAATATTGTTTATTTGGTAATTTTTTTTTAGCCTTTGATAACTATGTAACTATTCTGAAAGTTTCGTATATAGTCTTTGCTTGGAATTTGACGCCTCATATACTTGCTGACTATTAGGCTCTGATAGTTATTACCCATCTTATTCTATAGCGATCTGACTAGTTTGAAACTTTCTGATTCCTACTTAGCCTCTCATAGTTATTTGACTTGTTGGTATTTGCTGACTATCGCTAGTCTCTAATAGTTGACTATCTGACATTTGCCGACTCGGACTCTATACCTAGGTTCTGGTAGGTATTTAACTAGTCAGAACATACTGACTCCTACCTCGTCTTTGATGTCTATATAGCTAGTCTGAAATATACTGACCCTTATCTAGCATCTGATGTCTATATAGCTTGTCTAAATCTTGCTGACTTGAACTTAGCCTCTGAAAGCTGACTGCCTGACCTTTGCGGACACTTATCTGGCCTCTGATAGTTATACCAGTTGGAAACTAAAAGGATTCTAAAAATTGTTGAGAAGTAAATGCACATCAACTATATAAGGCCAAATATTTCTGATTTTCAAGTATTTAATTTAAGACATTTTATAATATATTTTACCATCATACAATAATAGAATATTTTTAATGTTAAAGTGATACTACGTCTTAGAATGAGCATGAAATTTAAGTTCTGGAAATAGTCAGTATGAATATAAATTCATCAGTTAACTTACCTGGTGTCATAAAGTTACAACAGAATCCCTGTAAAATCTGTAAAATTGGAAAATTCATAAAACTAAGTAATTATTTTAAAAACGCTTAATATTGATATTAAGCGTTTTTCAATAATTAATTGCATTTTTATGGATAATTACTAAGTTTTTTTGATTTATCAGATTATATAAGGATCCTGTTATGTTATTTATGATACCAGGTTTATCTACTGGCTCTTATTCGCCATGTTTAAAATTATTAAATTTTATGTTAATTCTAAAACGTACTATCATTTTGAAATAGTGCTCAACGACTCAAGTTCTGTTTTAATATTTCTATATCACCATCATTTACAGTCTTTGGCAAATCTGAGAAACAAATCACACAAGTCTGCTGACT